CTCTTTCCTGCTTATGCAGGGGGTCGGACTCGATGATCTATTGAGGTCCCTTCCGACCCTAACATCTATGAATCTATGAATCTATGAAAATAATTATACTCTGTGGTTAACAGGATTTAATCTCTGTGAAAGTTAATACTGTTATGGCTAAACAAGGACTTACTGTTACTGTAACTTGCCTGTTTGGAGAGGTCCTTCAGGAAATTCTCATCATTATCTTCATCAGAGAACAGTATGTTTGGTGGCTTGTATTCTACCAAAAACATCTTTGTTACAATGGCACTTTCTCTGCAGTCCCTGAAAGTCAGTAAAAAGGTATACCACAAAATTATGTGCAGTAAAAAGTAAATCAACACTGAAAATAGGTCCTGTCTTGAAATTCCTCCTTCTGGATAGCAGACTACTATTTCATCAAACAAGCATAATCCCAGTCAAACAAACCACTGATATTCTAGGTATGATAAAATTCACCAGTAAAAACGGATAGAAAAAAATGGATACATTTAATACCTGTTCCTCTTTCACAAAAATGCTCCCAATATGCCTTACTAGTGATTACTAGGGTGCCATTCATTTGCATGAGAGAAGGCAGCATGCCCCCCATTATTGATAAGGATGTATGGTAGGGGAGTATTTATCTCCTACTTTGTATGACTACTTATAATTAGGGGTCCATAGTGCAGCTCTAAAAGCAGCTTAGGCCAGCACTCTCTGCTGCAACACACCAACATGTCACTGATACCTCAGCCCCGAAACCCAGGGAGTGGAACCTCCAAGTATGCTCCAACATCCACAAATGCTGAACAAGAAACTAGTGGCACCATGGCCAGGTCAATGCTTAAAATTCAAGCGCTAGAATTTTAATATTAGGAGACAGTGGGTGCGTCTACTCAAGATGCTTTATTGCACAGTAGAACAATTTACTGTGCAGCAAGATCCCAGGGGCAGGGATCAATCTCCCGCCCCCTGCTGCCTGGCTGACTGGAAGAAAATTTGCTCCCAGTCAGCCATCTACACATGCCTTACTATGCAGTAACTATGTAATTAATTTGCTACCTGCATTTGCTGTGGAGTAGACCAATGTATTGCGCAATACGTGTCTGCATGTGTAGACAGCTGACCAGGAGCAAATTTGCTTCCAGTCAGTTGGGCAGCTGGCGGGGAGGAGCAGAGAGGGTGGGAGGAAGGGTGGATAGCTCCCTGCCCCAAGGAGTTGCCTGCTGCCAGGGCAGGCTCCAATGGCAGAGCCTGGGCTGGGACAATGGCCCCTTGTCCCAGCAGCATGGAGCTCCTGGCTGTGGCTTCACAATTAGGGGAAGGGGGCTTGGAAAGAGCTACAGAGGACAGGCAGGTCCCAGCCCCCTGCCCAATCCGTCGGTGGGGCAGCTAGCAGTGAGCCTCCAGCTGGGCAAGGATTCCTTGCAAAGCCAGGGGTGGTTGGGAGCTGTCCCAGGCTCCTGACCTCATCTGCCAGTGGGGAAGCTAGCAGTGAGTCCCTGACTGAATAGGGAATCCCCGCCAAGATGGGGCTTACTGCTAGCTGCCCCACTGGTGGAACAGGGGGAAATCCCCACTCAGCTGAGGTTCACTGCTAGCTGCCCCACTGGTGGACTGGGGTAGGAGGCTGGGACCTGCCCCTCCCTTGCAGCAATTTCCAAGCCCCCTGCCCGCAATTGTGGAGCCGGGGCTACGAGCTCTCTGCTGTTGGGGCAGGGGAACACAGTCCCAAGCCAGGCTTCACCATTGGCGCCTACCCTAGCAGCAGACACCTCCCAGGGCAAGGAGCAGTCTCCCATCCCCCACCAGGAGACAGCTGTCTCCTGGCCCCATGCTCTCTGCCAGCCCCTGGGCTTGTACCCAGTGGGAGCCTAAAGTTTCCCCTGGCTGCTTCAGGGGGCCAAAGCAGGGTGGGAGCATCCTTCTCTGGGCTGCTCTGTTTGGGAGCAAATCTGGTCCCAAATGCCTGCAGATGTAGATACCTACCCAGGGTGGGTTTCCTCCACAGTAAATTACTGTGGAGTAAACCCATCTAGCATCATTTGCATGTGTAGATGCACCCAGTGTGATCTAGTGATGCTTGCGGGGCTGGGATTATGAACAACCAGCCTTTAATCTATTACTAATCTAGTAGATGGCCTTGAGCAGTATGCTTTGGGTCTGGACAGACATAACACTAAGAATAGTTTACATGCTGTTTAAACCTGATATAGACATACTAGTCTGTTAAACCCATTTTAAACTGCCTGGAATGGTTCAGATGAGTACCTGGAAAATCAAGTACTCTTTTGAACTGGTTCACTGTGAACTGCGTCAATGTTATTTGTGGAGTCCAAGTTGTCCATGATTCAGATTGGCGGGGGTTTCCATGGTCTAAGCACCCAACACTGCATCACTTCTCATCCCCTCTCCCCTCTGCTGTAACTCTCTGCTCTGGTATAGGACCAGAATTCTACTGCTCCTTCTTTTTTCTTTTTGTTGGCACTTTTTACCACATTTATAGGGCACTGCTGGTTTAATGAAAGCTATTTTTCTAGCAACCAGCTGTGCCCTTATCCCCTGCTCAACCATGGTCCTTCATTATGCCCCCGCCGGGAACCCAGAAATATGGATCCAAGCACTCCCCCTCTCCCCCACAAGGCAGGTAAGCACACTGCAGACTTTGGTCAAGTGCACGCTACTGAACTTTCATGTTTAGGAGAAAAGGGAAAGCAAAAAAGTGAACCACAATCACAGGTCATTCACCCCTTAGGATCCTCAAAGCATGGGTGTAAGCACTCTTCTCCCATTACTTGCCCAATGTGAGGCAGGCTGGGCTGAGTGCTCACTCCCATCCTCTGGTGTTGGAACTACAGTTCTTCAATGGCTAAAAGGTAATCCTTCTACCTGGAAGGCTAGGGCACTGTACACTGTACATCTCTGACTCATGACAATTGTGAACCAGTTCCCAATCAGTGACATTTTTTAAAATGGTTCAATTGTTACATGCCCACACCCACAAAAACCTGGAAAGACGGACTTCACAGAAACCTGGAAAGACTGCTCCCGTCTCTGGATTGACATGTGTAAAATGGGAAAAGTAATATTAAACTACCACACAGCATTAGTGGGAAAATGCGTTAGCTCATCTTTTGAAGTGGGCTCATTAAAAGTAAATTATTAAGAAAATAAAAACTATTATACAAATGTATTTATGATGAAAACTTTTCATGGCAAGATTCTATAGTGCCTAATGAAATTGGGCCCTCATCCATGACTACTGCCCATGGCAAGTAATTGGTAAATACTAATAAATGTAGTGGCAAACTGATATCAATGAAAAGGAATCCATACAAGGTACTTATATTGTAAGCCTTGTGAGGCAAGGAGTATCTTTCATTCTGTATTTGTACAGCATCTGGCACAGGGTAGTCAAGATCTCTGACTGCCATTCTCAGGCACTGCTGCAGTATAAATAACAACAACAACAATATAAGATAGACAGTTGTTACTTACTTTGTGACTGCCATAGCTCTGACCATTATTTTCCCATCAGGCAAAGTGATAGGTCCCTTATACTTAAAAGTGTTATGCTCTCCATAGCCAGATTTTCTAAAAAGCTCTGGTTTACTTCCATCTAAAGTGTAGTATATGGTGACATCAGGGGTATCTGCAAGACACAAATAAGATATGCATTAAAACTATATTGGGACTTTGCAAAAATAAGGAAGGTCTAGTACTGCTGAGGCTTGCATATGCTTAATAACTCATCTAAGCAAAATTAAGCAGGTGTGCAAGTGATTGCAAGGCCTGGACTATATCAATTTTTAAGCCTCACAAAATTCAGCAACAAAATAGTTGCACAATTTCATCACAGCGATTTCCCTTCTCAGAAGATAACTGTAGAGCAGGTGATCTTGTATGAAAACGAACACTGGTTCTAAGTCTTGCACGTTCTAATGCGAACATGGATTATGGTTGAAAAATAGAAACTGGAATTTCAGAACTGGCAGATATGACCTTTGGAGAAGAACTGACGAGAAAGTCCCAGTTTTGAAAAATTGTAGCATACTGCAAAATCATCAAACGTCCAGGTTTTCATACTACACTGTGATTACAGAACAAACACAGCATCACTTCAAATGGAAGGAGGACAAAAGTAGTGGAATTAAAGGCCCTGATCCTGCACCTATGATTTACCATACAGTTTACACTATGTGAATAGCTCTATTCACTACAGTCGGACTACCCATGCGTATAAAGCACAGGTGTGTTTGCAGGATTAAGACCCATAAAATTTACGCTGGTCACTTAAGAAAATGGGTACCCGTGAAAAAAGGTGTGAATACAAATGCAGTATCAAAAAGCATGGACATCAATTTGCAGAAGAAGAGGAGAAGAGCTTCCACTGCAGACTGAAAGCTGTTGTTTGTACCTGACTTTATTTCAACGAGGGTATTTGTGTCTATTTCATGTTTCGCCTTCCCGGCAAGAGGAAGCTGAAGCGGTATAATCTGAGGCACGAGGACGGAACCAGCAGTCATTTTTTCCCTCTGTGAGGACACCTGAAAAACAAAACAGCATATGACTTTTAAAATGAACGTGAGTGAGGGGGCACGTGTGTGCGCACACCCTTGTGTGCATGTGCATGCACACACCTACATGTATGTGCACACCTCCACACTCCCCTGCACACACATACGCATCCCCCCCACCCCCCGCACGCAGGCGGGAGAGGCAGATAAAAGCGCAGCGAAATGCCCCCCCGGACCCTCACCCTCCCCGCC